CTGGGCAGGGCCCCAGTAGCTTGGTCGACAATGGCACCACCACATTAAGAACACCGCAGGGCGCACGCGGCGTCGCCGCCCGGGCGGCAGGTCGCGCCGGCGGCCTCGTCGCGGCGCATGCGGGCCACGCGGTCGTCGAAGAGCCGCGCGGCGTAGCCGTACAGCTCCCGATCCAGGCGCATGCGGGCGGCGATGCGGGCGCGCTCGTCGGCGTCCAGCACGGCGCCGTGGTACGGCTCGGCGCCGCCCGCGCCGGCCGCGCCGGCGCCGCGGCGCGGGCCGCGGGGTGCGCGAGGAGGCGCGCGTCGCGGTCGTGGCTCGCGCGCGCCGCGCGGGTCTTCGACCGCGGGTCGCCGTCCGTCGCCTCGGCCCCCGTCGCGCGGTCCGCGGCCGCTCCGGCGCCGCCCCCCCGCGGCGGCGGCGTCCTCGCCCCGGCGCACGCCCGCGACGAGGGTGGCCTTGGGCAGGCAGAGGGCGTGGGCGATGAGCTGGGCGCTGTCCTCGAGGCGCTCGAAGAGCCCGAAGGCGAGCGCGGCCTCGTCGGCGAGCTCGGCCTCGGCCCGCGGCAGCAGCGCTTCGGGATCCGCGTCGTCGCGCGCGGCCGCGAGCGTCCGGTTGCAGTCGAAGCGGGGCCGGCCGGCGAGGAACTGGGCCTGCATGTTCCACGCGAACGGGTTCCGCTCGAGCCACGCCGACGCGGGCTCGCCGCGCGCGCGGCCCCGGTGCGTCGCTCCGGACGCCGTCCGCGAGCCGCGCCGCGCCGCGCCCTCGACGGGCATGTACGAGAAGCGCATCAGCGTGCGCCAGAGCCACGTGACCGGCTCCCGCAGCACGTGCACCGTGACGACGGCGCCCGGGCGCGCGACGCGCGGCGAGGGCCCGCGGAGGCCCATGCGCGTCTCGTGCTCCGCCTGGCGCGCGCCGCCGGACGCCTCCCGCGCGCGGGAGACGGCGCCGTCGGCCCAGTCCGAGGCGATGTGCGCGCGGCGCTCCGCGAGCGGGAAGTGCGCGTGGCCCGCGCGGTAGACGAGCGTCGCGCGGACCGGCAGCAGCGCGTCGGCACCGCACGCCGCGGCGGAGCATTTCGCGCACGACGCGGCGCCCCGGATCGCCCGCGCCTCGAGCGCGCGCCGCAGCGCCGTCGCCACGGTCGTCGAACCGCTGTGCGGCAGCGCAAGGTGGTCCACGTGGGCGACCTGGCGCGGCTGCCGCCGGACGACGTCGTCGCCGGCCGTGTCATTGCAGGCGCCGCCGCCGCCGCCAGCCGACGACATGGTCGCTCGAACCAGCAGCAGCGCCGCCGTCGCGACGAGGCCGCCACGAGTTGGTCGCATCGATCCTACGCTAGCAAGTGAGCTCGTCTCTGAGCTGGGCGCACATCGTGCCCGGCTCTCCTTCGGGGTCAACCGCCCCGCCGGGCTAAAAACTAAAAAAAGCAACTCGACTGATTTCTCGAAAAAGCAACTCAAACAATCAGGCTGCGAGCAGCCCTTTTGCAGCGTCGATGGACGAAGTTCTCGTCTTCTCCAGCCCGTAGCTCGACGCAGGCGCATAGTTGCGCAACGATCCCCGCGGCTGCGAGGACCGGAACCCTGTCGCGGACACATTCCCCGCGGGATGTCACTCCCGAGGATTGCGTCGCATCGCGCGCGGGGCGTCCCAAGGGGTCGGAAGAGGGTTTTCGGCGTCCCCCGCACCCTTTTCGACCGTGTTCGAGCGCACGGAGCATCGGGAATCGTTCGTCTATGTACCGCGGGCGTCCCATTTGATCCGCTCGGCCATCGACGTCGAAAACATCGACTGCCAACTCGCGCATAGAAACGTGGCGCGGCAGCCCGAGCGGCCCCCACGTCCAGAAACGCGGTCTGGGCCGACACCACCGCCCGAGCCCCGTCCCCAGTATGTGTCCGGTGGGATCGAGTACATCTCCAGCGGTGGAGGGCCACCCCGCGGTGCCGATCTCGGCCGTTTCGTCGTCCCCATGGAGGCCCGGAACGCCGACTTCACGGCGTCGGCCGCTGCAGTAGGAAATGTGCTGAATCCGCCTCAGTGGCCCGAAGAACCCGTCCCATGCAATCACCTACTGCAGAGAGACACCTTCACCACTGCGGACTCGGCCACGCTCGGAGCGCGTCCATCGCGTGA